TGTGGGGCAACGAGCGGCTGGTGGAGGCGCGGTACCAGCAGCTGGAAGGCGCCGGCACCGTTTTCGGGAGCAAGGCTCCCGGGCCGGCCATGTACGAGCGCGTCTCCCGGGCCTTGGCCGAGCTGGGCTACGAGCGGACCCCGTCGCAGTGCCGGGAGCGCATCAAGGTACGGAGCGCAGCCGTTGCCTAGCGAGGGATGCTCCAGCCACCAGCAGGAGGAGGTGATGATGATGGTGGCGGCGGTGGTGGTGGTAGTAGTAGTAGTAGTGCCGGGTGATGCTTGGAACGGGGACCTAATCATCCACTGGTGTCTTCCCCCCCCCCCGTGGCTTCGTTGTCAGGGTCAGCCTGGCCACCCTGCTCTTCCGCCAAAAGAGAGGACCCGTCCTTCCTATTTTAGGGCGCTTTTCGCAGCTCTCTCCGCGCCCTTCCCTTCTCCAGGGACGTGGAGGCAGCAGCAGCAGCCTCTGTCTTGCCCTCTTTCTGGTTTGTCTTCGTTTTGCAAGCCTTTCAGGGTTCTCTTGCTCACCGGTAGAAGTAGCTGTGGACAGGCAGCGTATTGGTTAGAAGTCTGGATCAAAGTTTCGATTTGCCATCAGATCTTCCAGAGAAAGGACTCTTTTTTAAAAAAAGTATTATCTCCAAGGGAGAAATGCAGGTGGTGGTTTTGTGTTTGTTGGTTGGTTTTTTAAATGTCCATTGCTGGGCATTTCCTGGCTTAATTCCTAAAGATTTTGCAACGAAGTGCACTCCTTTGGTGTTTCCTCTTTTTGCCCTGGACCAGGATGCTGTTCTTAACAGAAGTTTGAAAGCAGTAAATGTTAGATGTTTTTAACACAGGCGGCAGTATAACAAATCTCAGTGAGGAACACCAGTAATGGATTTAAGTTCTAGCAATGAGCAAGATCACCCCCCCCCAGCCTAACTAATATTAGGGATTTTACAACCTGAACTCTCTTTTTTCTTCACCCAGGCAGAAACAAGAGGCTATAAACAGATTGCTGTTTCTTTAAGCAGATAAATGCAGTTTGGGAATAGCAACAGCATGCAGTGTTTTTAGCTAAACATGTAGAATTCTAAGCAGAGAACTTAGCTGAGAACTTGCTGCGCTTCTCTTTGTAGAGTTTGCACTTTTATTGTTTTGGATTAAGAAAGAATATTATTTCTGATGTGCTGAAGTCTAGTTGATATGGGTTTTTTTAGCCAAAAATCATTCTTTAAGGTAGCAGTGCTTCTTGGAGTAAATGGAGCAGCTGTTTGTTGTTTTATTTAATAGGTTAACTGACAAAGCTTTAGTAGCATAAGATATTGTTTTGCTCTCTTCTTGTTCTTGTGTGTGAATAAACATTTCTGGAGAGTAGATGTAATTAGTCATTTACAGAAAGGGCATTTACTGTTTAGAAAGTTAGCACCTTTCCTGATTTGATGAGAAAAAAATAGACATGATTTCTAATACCAGATAAAGTTTTTCAGTTTGCCTGTATTACTGAGCTTCCTTGTTTTCTCTCTCACTTTTCCTACTGTTGAAATAATTGTCAGCTTACTGTCTAAAGAGAAATATGCTGGTGTGCTGGTATTGCTTTTGTATTTTACCTGTTTGATTCAGGGCAAACCTATTTTTCTATTTAATGTGTTCTGACATTAATGCTAAGGTATGTGGAAAAGTGAGTGATACCCAATGTAGTACAGTGGAATGAGTGATGGACTCAGGAGGCCTGTGTTTGAATCCTCACTTGTCACAGGGGGTGTGGAACTGATAGACACATTCATTAAATATCTCATCTTGAAAGCCTTATTAGGGTTGGTATAGGTTGGTTCCAGTTTGATGGCACATACCATAACACGGGGAAAGTACATCTTGAGAGAATCTAGTAGGTGTTGCCCCATATTTTAGTGTTGCCATCTCTGATAGTAATAATTACCTTTGTTAATGAGGGTTAGAGAGAAGCACCGCTACATACATCCTGGATGAGAGGCCTGAACCCATCTATCCCTCCATCAGTCTTTTGAATTACCAGTGGAATTGGTCCACATATGAAAATCTGACAGCCTTTCTTCTTCAGAGGGCATGGATTTTCTCACTGCATATCCAAGACAACATTCTGTTAAAAGTCTACCTGAAGAAAGTGTTTTAAAAGTGATTTGAAGCATCACAGAACTTTTGCAAGTTGGCCATCCTCTGGTGTAGTCTGTAGTTACCCTGTGCCAAATACGCATGTCAGTGACAGTAAAGTCTGTGCTCCATCTGTTTGGAAAATGCTTAAAGTCAATTGAATGACTCTGCCTTGTCTTAGGAGGAGTAAGTGCTTTCAAGTGTGTTGATAGGATATATCAAAAGTTGTAACAATTGTAGGATAGAACCAAGAAAGTTTTAAATGATTTTCAGAATTCATGGCTGTGTATTCTTTTGAAACCATATATCCCAAATGTTTAGTAACTTTTTTTACAGCTGGAGCATCTGTCTTTAACCTTGGGCTAAATATAAATCTATAATTAATAATTTATATACTGCTTTTCATATAATTCTGGTTGGTTTAGAACAATGGTTCCCATCCTTGGGTCCTCATATATTATTGGACTGCAGTTCTCAGAAATCCTGACCAGCACAGCTGGTGGTGAAGGCTTCTGGGAGTTTTAGTCCAGAAATGTCGGGGAGCCAAGTTTGGGAACTACTGGACTAGTAATGAAACATAAGCAACAGTAGACTAAGAGAAGAAACAAGTATAAAAGCCAGCAATATAACAAGACTATAAAAGATTAGTGAAAAAATTACATGAATTAAATGTAGTCATTGTAGACAGGCAATCAGATTTAGCCTTTAAAGTCTAGAGATACTGGCAGAAATCCAGTTGGCACAATTGGATCGCAATCCAGTGATGATTTTCCAATATTAAAGGCCTCCCCATCCTGTCCTAAGGATCTCAAAGGCTTCCCCAGAGCAAAAGGGATCTTTAGGGAGTCTCAGAACCTTCAGATGAAAATGTCATCACCATTTATGGTTGAACCAGCCAAATTTCAGATCCAAAATGAAAGCATGGGTGTATTGAGAAAATTATGAAACTTGGAATGTGCTTGAATGAACAGGGATTTCATAGCCATGCAGTAGAAATTAGAATAGATCAGATTCCTTAAGAAGAAAAATGTAGTAGAAAGAAAACAAAAACCAAGAAATTGCATAAAATTGGCTTTTAGGATGTGTGTTGTATGTCCTATATATTCATATTCCCACTGTATCACAAGGAATTGTGGACTTTAACAGAGGCTACTGTAGAAAAAATAAAAGTAGTTGAAATATATATTGCAAGATGCTCAGAATTTATTGAATTCAGAAGTTCAGTGAAAAAATGGCAAGGTGGAATTTTGTAAGATTGTCAGTTTGACGTTATTGTCTTTACTCTGGTATAAAAATTGTGAGTGTTGACACTGTAGCTAATGAAATTTCAGGAAAAGAGCATTGTATTAAACAGATTATTTGATCGATCATGTGCTATCTGTTTGCTTTTATCCTACTAATGCTGTTGATAGTATTGATGTTAGCAACAATCATTAAAACAGTGTTGTTTTACTTATGAGGAGAACACCTTCCATATATACAGTATCTCTGTTTGATTCCAAAGTGTTTTTTTGCTGGTTCATGCCTTAGCTGTTCACTTGTAGGTTACTGTTCACTGCAGGGCATGAACGGGATAGTCCTGTTATGTGTTTGCCTAGAAGGAAGTCCCATTGAGGGATAGACAATTTGTTATTCTCACAATATTTTAAAATGTTATCTCTTTAATCCAGGGGTCTCAAACATGCGGCCTGGGGGCCATTTGCGGCCCGCCAGATGATAGTTTGTGGCCCCTGCCTTGCTTGCCCCCCTGAAGCGCCCACGTGTCCTCTGCTGTCAAGAGTCAAAAAAAGCCTCGCCTCGCTCGCCAGCTGTCTTCAAAGACAGTGCCTCTTGCACCCTCCATCTGGAACTGCAGCCTGCCAGGCGACCCACCTGAGTGTGCCTTTTTTTGAGGGGGCCCTCAGAGGAAGGTTGCTGGACCTCCGTGTGCGTGCGTGCACACACCTGTGGGGGCCCCACCCCGTTCTGTTTAATTTCATGGGTACCGATGGGGGCTTTTCTCCTTTGGCAAGGCTATTCTGGGAGGCTTAAGAAAATTTATGTCATGCCCTCCTCCCCCCCTGCTAGGTGGTGACCAGAGCTCCCTCCCTTCTCTGCTTCTTCATCCTGCTGCTGGTGGTGGTGGTAGTGAAGAAGGAGCTGGAGGGGGACGTGGCTGGCGACGAGGGCTCTCGCACTCCTCTTCCTTGGATCCCCAGCTAGGCTAAGGAAACTCCTGGGTGGCTTCCTCGGGCTCTTGGTGGAAAATCTGATGCAGCCCAGCCTCACCCAGACTCTGCCTCCAGCGGCCCCCAGGTAAATTGAGTTTGAGACCCCTGCTTTAATCCCTTACTATTAGTTACAGTGATGGAGGCTGATGGGGCTTCATTTAAAGCAGGCTTGTCCAACCTGCAGCCCGAGGGCCGCATGTGGCCCAGGTCAGCTCGTAATGCG